AACTAGTTCCTTGAAATAATAGCAGAGAACTGAACTAGTTCCTTGAAATAATAGCAGAGACTGAACTAGTACCTTGAAATATATAGCAGAGAGCGGAACTAGTACATTGAAATAAATACAGAGAAGCAGAACTAGTACCTGGAAATAATAGCAGAGAACTGAACTAGTACCTTGAAATATAGCAGCAAGAGAAGAACACAGTACCTTGAAATAAATGAAGAGGCAGGAACAGAATATTATATCTACATCCCCATGTCATTTTTAGTCACTGGTGAAGCATCGCTATATCTTGTATTTACAATCTATCCGTGAAAACCTTATCCTCTAGTGTTAGAGCATACCACGTTATTCAGCAATGGCAGGGGAGCGAGCTACTGCATCACCAATTGAATGGGAGAGGAAGGACGGGGGTGGAGAGGAGGGGGTGTTGCTTGGTAAAATCGAGCCTGACAGGTCTGTTGGTCCCGAGAAAGTGATGAAAAATGTTATCTCATGCCTGCAAGGGAGGGTGTGAAAAATGATGCAGTTGGCAGGGCTAGAGTGCATCTTCTAGTTTACTGCTTGTAGTGTGGCCACGACGGTAACAATTATTGTGCCCTTGATTGATAAGACTTCCTGTAGACTCAGTGGGATGATGACTATGCCAAATTAGTGACTATAGTGTGTGATGGGGTTCCTTTATGTTGTTCGAGTATTATTTGAAGGGTTTCAAAATACAGTGTTGATAATATATGTTATTTTTGCACTGAGAAGATTGTATTGGACAAGTGATACTGTAAAAGGTATAGTAAGGTTATTTACTGTAGTTCTCTTCTTCTGCTACGGATTAATATATCGGGTTGATCCCCCATGCTAAAAACATCTTTCTATGATGTATAGTTTTAAATTACGAGGTTGGTGTTTACGGAGCCTAGTTAGCAGCCATTTTGAATTTCTGCTAATTAGCTCAACTCTCTTTAAAAAAATGGGTTCCATTGTATTGCACATATACTCAGATCATTGTTCTAAGGACTGTGGTTGGGCTTTAGTGATGAACTTGGTGTTTTCCATTTTATCGCGAATTGTGATAGCGGCCACCTTGAATTCTGAAAATGATATAGGGCGGAACATAATGAATTTAGAATGGGGAATACGGATATGATTCCCTGGGGCTCTCCTGAAAAAATCAGCGTTCTATTTTTTATTTAGAGGATATTGGTGTGTTTTTGTCTATTATTATTAATACTCACAAAGACGATGACTTAAAACCCTTGAATATGATGGTTTAACTCCTTGAATAATAATAATAATAATAATAAGAAGAAGAAGAAGAAGAAAGAAAGAAGAAGAAGCGAAGAAGAAAGAAGAAAGAAGAAGAAAGAAGAAGAAGAAGAAGAAGAATGTTTATTCAGTAAAATTCTAAAACAGGTTTACAATAGCATGTTTATAAAATATGAAGTTATACAGATTAGCATGAATATAGACCTGGGGAGTATACAGTGTTCTGTGTGCCGAGACAGTGAAGGTAGATAACAAAGAGAAACAGTACGGCAGCTTTTATTTCTCGAGGGTTTAAGATAACGTTAAAATTTCACCATCGTTTTCTCAATTTATTTTCCAGACTAGTAATATATATGTAACCGGTCGGAATTGAGGGTTTTTGAGTTGTAGTGGGTGGTAATGCAGTGGAAGCGCCCCTCAGAGAAAATCCCGAACCAGCACAAACACAATTAAATAAAATTATTCTCCGTGACCGTGGAATAGCTAGTACCTGTGATTGGGGTTAATGAGACGCACTGGGAAAAGATAACACTTCTATTCCTTCCAACACTACAGACGGAATCAATAATTGTATACAAGCACTAGAGTACTTCTTAGCATGGCTTAAAACACTACAATGGGAAACAAAAGTTATACATGGTATTAAAAAAAATATTAAATGCTATTTATTGCATCTGAAGAGGACTACTAATGCAGCAGTACTACTACTACATACACCAGAACAGACACCAGAACGAGGAACTCATCTGAAACAATTCCTTCGTACATCCTACATCACTTAGTGGCACATAAAACATTAAAACATATTACTTGCACCAATGAACATGCCTTAAGGGCATCCGACAAATTTATAGTAATCATTAAGGAATAGAAATCCCGATTTTAGTCATACTACACAAGAACATGGATCACTCATAGCCTGTCTGGGATGACCCACAAAATACTATAATCCTAACTGTCCTAACTACCCAGAACCCGTAGGTTGTAACTACTAACCCGCCAAGAGGCAGGCATTTACAAGAAACCAAGAAAATCACTCGTGACCCGTCAGGCAGGCGGGTGCTCCGCTGTTTTTTCTTTACTCTCTCTAGATTTCAGGAGTCATGAGTGTATTTCTCCACCAACACCCGTAACATGCTTCACACATAGGTTCAGAATGCACCCGTACTTTTAAGGTACTAACAGCCTTTCACAAACTTTTGGAGAGGAACTCCTACGTCCCACGTGTGCAATCAACCATGAGGAGCGTTGATCTCACACCTGGACTTGGCAATTATAATCACATTTTACCACCAACACCCATAACATGCTTCACACATATGCTAAGAATACACCCATACTTTAAGGTGTTACAGCCTTTCACCAACTATGAAGAGGAACCCCTACGTCCCACGTGTGCTATCAACCATGAGGAGCGTTGATTACACACCTGGACTTGGTTAATTCAATCACATACACCCAATACTGGGGAGATGAATGTCTCTATGTAACCACTAGACTCCCGGTCCCAGCCTGTGACCTTTCATTCACTCAGTTTACTCCCAGTACTTCATGGACAGGAAGAGAGTGACCGTCAGCCCGCCTAGTTAGGCCAGTTCAGAGTACAACCAGGTGAACCCTGCCCAGCTGAGGGAGGAGTTCTACTTTCCCGTTAGTAAGATTTTTCACTGACTGACTGAAGACATGTGGTGTTGTATGAACCAAGGTGGGGAGATTTGATGAACCAGATCGACCACCGACCAAAGTGTGGATGCTGGTCCCACGTAGTTAGTCGTCAGAGACACCTGTTCGCCTCGTGCGTTGCCAGCTATATCTTCCAAACCGACCACTAAACACTAACCAACCATCGGCCAACCGAGTGGGTTCTCGGAACTTTGCAACACTTATGAACCGTGCACGGGAAGGGACGAGGCCACGTGGTCGTTTTCAGACGCGTGGACTCCATCCGCCTGGGTCAAACGCCTGAGAGCTACTCACGCTGGTCAGCACCGCATCCCCCAGGGCGTTCGCCTGCCTTCACCCAATGACGTCATCTTCCGCATATTACTAATAGTTTCTTTGGGACACACGTAACATATTTGGACTGGGAAACTATCCACAATAACTTTAAATTTTAGTTTCCTATAGGCCTAGTGCTAAATGCTTCCACTTCCCGCTCGATGGCGGCGAGCCTTTGTTTTAACTCGCCATGGGGTTTGGGTGTTTCAGCCTGGCCTACTTATGCTTTCCTGTTTCGGCAGATCGGTTATTTCTGTTCTAACGTTTTCTAAATATCACATTGAAATTTCTGAATATTACATATATAATCTTTTTAGTTAATTACACATATAGATATAAACACATTCCAACAACATAGCAGTAGAAGGGAACGTGCATGTCAGACCAAAGATAAAGCGGAAAATAGTAAACTCACAAACAAGGGAGACGTAAGGAAAAGAAAGGGATCAACAACAAGAAAGATACAGAAGAAACTAAATATAAAAAGGGGAGCGATTGAGATAAGAGAAATGAGAGAAGAAAATAATACAGATGTAGGAAGGGAAGGTAATGGACTGAAAGTATAAGGATAAAGTCTCACTAATATCCTAATACCGTCTTTCGTTTGGTTGAATGAGATTTCGACCTACACTAGTTGACGAATATGAGGATGTATCTATATGCAATACTGATTAGATAGATAGATAGACATTTAGATATTCACTTCACATGTATACAAACAATGTATACAGAAATTGTACATACATACAAACAGTGGTCAACAGTAATTCCATCTGACCAAGGATTGCCCAAGAAAAAAGACATTAATCTTACTTCCGTTTAAGGCCCACAACAAAGATGTTTCCGCCCTGTTGTGTAAAGATAGAATGACATAAAAGAGAACATTGTACAAAACCTAGTCAGCTGTACAGTAAGAGGCAGAGAAGGCCTTGTACATAGTTTGTGACGCAGAGAGAAGATAAAGGTTGGACCATTGGTGAAGGAGATGCCACAATCACAGGTTATCAGGACGTGAGGGGACACAACAAAGTCTGACCGCCCAGATGTGATACCTTTTTAATAGACCATAAAACAAACTAACCTGAGGGGGGTGATTTCAAAGGGTCGAAGCATAAAACTGGCAAGAGGGAAGGGGAAAATAATTGCGAGGAGGGGAATGGGTATTTCCACCGAAAACCCAAGGTGACACGGACTGGAAACAAGCAATTATTCTCAAGGGTTTTCACATTTATCTTCGGGCTAACAAATTGTTTAGGCCAGACTGGGAAATACATGAACGATTTCCATACTTTGCTTAAAATTACGCGAGAATATGTTATACATATTTACATACATATTACCTTTTCAGTATTAAACCAGTGTAAAAGTTATAATCCAAAACATTTCAAAGTATTAGCAGAAAATCGGATTTACCTTAGATTTTAATTGTTTCCCCAGAATTGCGCAAAATCTTTGAGCTTCCACAGTACGATAGCGACTCAGAAAATTCGCATTATTTGAAGTTTATGTGACTTTGTGTTAAGTGCATATAAAACATCATCAGTACATATTAACAAATAGGGAAATTCCGTTGAAGAATTACAAATACTGTTAAGTTGACGTTCATCTGAACATAGTTACCCCTAAAATTAATTTTCTTTAAATTTTGGTTTTCAAAGAAAATGACACGATTATATGGTAATATGAAGAAAACAGTTGAAAGCCCTTATCTCCTTTATAACAATGCTTCCTTCCCTCCTCAGCTACGGTCGGAGTTGCAAAAGGACGTGTTCCACCTGGCGTGGTCGCCGGACTCCCTGCCGGCAGAGGAGGCAGTGCGGCCACTACTAGAGCGCCTCTACGCTTCCCTGGCGACCTACTCTGCAGCCCTCCTGAAGAACAACCTCGACCGACTGCTCCACCTCCTCTGGCTTGCCGTCCTCAGCGCCCTTAACGAACAGATCGGCAAGGACACGGAAGTAAGATGACATCAAGGTTCTTGCGGTCTGAGGTTCTCAGACCGCACCCGAGTATCCTTAGAATTAGATAAGTAAGAAAGTAAACAAACTTAACCGCCTGAACAGGTAGTAAATTCTTGAGTGGTGAAGTGATGGATTTGCCTCGGGGGCGCTAATGTATTTCCTAACTAAAGTCAGCATCGCATTAGTTTTCTGCGGTATTTCAGTCACATTTAAAACACATTTTACTTACCTAGGCTACTTAAATATTGGGGACGAGGGAACTACACTTGTATAACCAGTACTTGAACCTGATTAGTGCCATTGCTCGATGGTATAACGGAATGGTTTCATGTAGTTTCCTTTGCTCATTCTGACCATAGTCTTCCTCAACTCTTTTATTCATTTTCTCTTCAGGAAAAGCAGGAAGCGTTCTTTGTGAGGCTGTACGAAGCCCTGGAGCTACTGCGAACCTTCTTCAACGCCCACGGCAGAGGTCTTGACGCTAACACACTCATGGGGCCGAAGTACGCTGTCCTGGAGAGACAACTTAGGGTGAGTGTCCTCTCTCTCTCTCTCTTTTCTTTGATACACTCTTTCTCTCTATTAATTATCCCTTTCACTTTGCCCTCCCATCATACTCTCACCCGTCCACCCTTTCTCTCACCTCTTACCCGTCCACTGCTTTCCTCCCTCTCAATTCCATCACTTATCCCTCACTCCTTACCCCACTCCTTCCACCTACTTATCCTTCTCCCTTATCCCTTTCATTCCTACTTCCACATCTCCCTCACGTGTCTGTCTCACACTCCATCCCACACACACACACACACTACTCTCTCATCCCTTATACTACACATCCCAACTTCTCCCTCACCTTTCATCCCAAGACCTCACACGCTTAATCCTTCTCCCCTCATCCCTCACCCTTAACAAATACGTCGCCCTCTCCCCTTATCCATCATATCTATCTCCCCTTACTCCTCCAATATCTTCACCCCTCACCCTTCATCTCTAAGATTTAACTCTCTCTCCCTCTTCTCTCACCCCTTCCCCCAACACCTATCTCTCTCTTTTCTCATCACCCCTCATCCATTATCTCTAATATCTACCTACCTCTCTCTCTCTCTCCCTCACAGCTGCACAAGACGACGACGGAGGCACTGATCGAGACCTACCACCTAGAGCGGCTGGTGGTGCAGGAGAGGACCGACCTGCAGGAGTATGGCTCGCTCTTCGTCAGGGTGTACTTTAACCACGACTCTCTCTGTGTTGAGGTGTTACAGGCCAGGAACCTCATCCCTCTGGACCCCAATGGTACGTGGACGTTGGTTCTGGGATTTTAAGGTTCTTGGATGGTTCATAATGGGTTATCACGGTCCTTGGATGGTTCATAATGGGTTCTCATGGTCCTTGGATGGTTCATAATGGGATTTTAAGGTTCTTGGGTGGTTCATAATGGTTCACGGTCCTTGGATGGTTCATAATGGGTTCTCAAGGGTCATGGATGGTTGATGCTGGGTTCTTATGATTCTTGGATGGTGATTCTAGGCTTCCATAACACGTGGGTGGTACTCTCATGTGGCTAACACTATGTAATGGACATAATTAATACTATCAGGTTTGTAATGGGGAAAATAATATTATGTAGTGATGGGTATTATTGGTGTGTGTGTGTGTGTGGGGGGTAGAAAGTGAGTCTATTATATTATATTAATGTAATATCTTGGCGTTCTAACGGGGGATATATTTTCCCTCACTCTTACCACCTCTCACCCTCACTCTTACCACCTCTCACCCTCACTCTCACCCCTCTCTTCACTCACCCCCGTCTTCACTCTCACCCCCTTTCATTTTCACCCTGGCAGGCTTTAGCGACCCGTTCGTGGTAATTGAGATGCTGCCTCGTCGTTTGTTCCCCGGGTCAGCCTCCCAGCAGACCAACGTACACAAGAAAACGCTCCACCCGCTCTTTGACGAGTGCTTTGAGTTGTACGTAAACATCTGTATTTGTCCCTCATGTAGCACCTGTAGTTGACCCTTATGCAGTATCTTAACACCTGTTTTTTACTCTTATGTAACACCTGTACATGACTCATATGTAACACCTGTACTTGACTCTTATGTAACACCTGTACTTGACTCTTATGTAACACCTGTACATGACTCTTATGTAACACCTGTACATGACTCTTATGTAACACCTGTACATGACTCTTATGTAACACCTGTGCATGACTCTTATGTAACACCTGTACATGACTCATATGTAACACCTGTACTTGATTCGTATGTAACACCTGTACATGACTCTTATTTAACACCTGTACTTGACTCTTATGTAACACCTGTACATGACTCTTATGTAACACCTGTACACACTCTTATGTAATACCTGTACGTGACTCTTATGTAACACCTGTACTTGACTCTTATGTAACACCTGTACATGACCCTATAACACCAGTACATGACTCTTATGTAACACCTGTACACGACTCTTACGCATCACCTTGACACCTGCATTTGACTCTTAGACTCTTTATTAACACGTGTGATTGGCTCTTTAGCTCTCTCTGGCACTTTTTTAAACAGAGTATTAATGTTGGTGAACATATTTCGAGCAAATAATAATAATAATAATAATAATAATAAAATAATAATAATAATAATAATAATAATAATAATAATAATAATAATAATAATAATAATAATAATAATAATAATAATAATAATGATAATGATAATAACATTAATGATGATAATAATAATACTGATAATAATAACCACCACGTACCTTCCTCCTCCTTCAGTCCGGCCACGTTAGAGAGCTGTCAATCAGAAGGGGCCATGATTCTGTTTACTGTGATGGATCATGACGTCATCACCTGCAACGACTTTGGGGGGGAGTCGTTCTTGTCGCTCAACACCATCCCAGGGGTCGTGGCCTCCTCAACCTCCATCGATAACTTCCACGGCCTCAAGCCCATCGAGCTCAACCTCATGTTCCAAAAGGATCCTGGTCTGTTGGTCGATGTGTTGTGAACCTACTGTAGCACATTCACTCTTACAGTCACTATGTCTTTGACGAACCTAATACCCCCAATATACATGTTCTGTGAATCAAATAGTCTTATTATTAAAACATTCTATCTCTCAATAACAATGCCTTATGTCTTACCTAACTTAACCAAACCTAACCCGGGTTTTACTTCCTTGCAGACAACATCATCCTGAAGGTGCTGGAGACAAGGACCAACGAGAAGATGGCTATGGAGTTTGTCAAGAAACAGAAGGAGAGGATCGCCCGCTCGTCTTAGGGTCGATGATTCTATGTTCACACGACCCATTCTCTCCTCTGGTCGACCTGTCCTCTAGTCGACCATTCCTCCGGCCCGTCTGTTCGCTGGTCGATTCTGTCTCTGTTGATCTCTGGCCAGAATCTCGACTTATCAAGTCGTCTGTTCGACCTACATCCAGACGTTCGACCTACCTTTTGGATGCCTTATGGCACGACGCTCGACCTTATTCACTCAATCCTGTGTTTTGGTCGACCAACCCCCGGACGAGCGGCCAGCTAGCTGATACACACCAATCTTAAACAGTTGCCCAATGTATTTTGTGGGGGCCTCAGAACCTGTCGTGGTCTCCATATTGTTTGTCTCTTCCCTCAGCACCGTCTCTCTAAACACGTCTATGCCGGCAAGTGTCCTCACATTAAATATGTCTTGAACTTCCCTCAGCTAGCTTCTAAAGAAACTTTTTGTCACTCTTTCACTTATTCAAACCCCACCAAAGTCCCACAGACGATCCAGGACCCGGACTCTCAAAAATTGTGTGTATTTTTCCTCTTGCATCTGTAAATGAGAACGTATTTAGTTATGATTGTGTCTCAGTGCAAATTCCATTTTTGCTTCGTATAGTGAATAAACTGGTTAGACATTTTCTCACAGTAATTGTTAGGGGAAATATTTTACAAAAGATTGTTTAAGAATCTGGGTCCAGGAACTCCCAATTTAACGTATGAATTTTGAAGAATTCGGACCCAGCAGGTCCTTGTATTCCTCTCGACGCGTCTCAAAACAATCCTCTTGTCCTCAGTGACACTGAAAAACAAATATTGCCCTTTAGTGGCCCAAGGCATGCCTTGGCGTCTACCCTTAGTGGCCTTCAATTAATACTTGTCTGTTTACCCTTTGTGTCTCTTGTAAATCATCATCACTCTCCCCTCCCTTTAGTATGACGCCCTTCAAGTCTTTCGTTAGTTCCGCCATTAGCAGCGGCCTCCTATATTCTCACCCCAAAGAGCGCCAGTATAGGCATGAACAGCGATCTGGTGTAATTCCATAATTGTGTCATTTCGAGATGCAGGGAATTGCCAAGCGTTGTTATCTTGTGCTGGCGCTGTGTTACAGGTAGGAACAATAGACCTTCCTGACTCGTAGTCGACATCGGTGTAGTCGTAGATAGTAGGGGGTTCAGCATTATGTTGAGGGTTATGATGACCATGTAGTCTTTTGCCTAGTTTGTTCTGTGTGCGTGTGTCGCATTTTTTACTACCAGATTCCTCATTAATACTGTAATTAAGAGTTGTGTAATCACATATTTCAAGTAGTTCTTAAGACCTAGATCTGTAGTTTACAAAATTGATTGATATTTTAAACAGTGAGTTGGAGTGTGAGTCGAAGTGACGGTGTACAGACCACGTAGTGTGAGTTTGGTAGTGTTGATAGGAGGAAGGTTCGGTAAACGATAACTTGGATCCCGTCGACACACTCTCAACGTTGCTGGAGCTGTTGAAGGTTCTAGAAAATACACTTACCTGGTCCTTGTGTCCTCACTGACTCGCCAGATAGTCAAGTCAAAAAAAATGTAAGAGCACGTACAAAGAGTATCTGAGTACACGTTTGTGAGTACGTCATGAGTGTGTCCACTGACTCAAGTGCGTCCTTGTGAATATAACCTAGTCATCTCAGTGTGGTTAGTAGCGTAGTGTACTCCAGTGTGAAGTGTTACCTCGAACGTTGTGTGAGGAGTTGCTTGCATATCATATTTTGACAAATTTATATTTTATAGCAAAAATGCTATCATTGTCTTGTTCATGGGATAGAGAAGTATGAAATTACTATTGTACAATTATATCTTTAAGAATGATTATCATTCAGTGTAAATTACTGCAGTGTAGTAGAGAGTCTATTTATCAACTACCCTTATAGCTCTCCCCTGCGTGGTGAAATGATACAAACTGCAAGAGGATGCATAGGTAGAAGGTATCGTGAGACTAGACACCTTAGGTGGAGGCAGGTGACATGTAAAGTCTGGTCCACTTTCCTTCCAACAAGATTTTTTTTTTCAGAAATTTACACTTGCCATTAAAAAAAAAAAAATAAAAAAAATATATATATATATATATATATATATATATATATATATATATATATATATATATATATATATATAGATATATATATATATATAGATATATATATATATATATATATATATATATATAGATATATATATATATATATAATATATATATATATAGATATATATATATATATATATATATATATATATATATATATATATATATATATATATACTATATATATATATATATATATATATATATATATATACTATATATATCTACATACACATATATATATATATATATATATATATATATATATATATATATATATATATATATATATATAATCAATGACTTCACAGCCAGGCTGGTGAAGTCATTGGATATATGTTCAAAGTCTGCGTGTTATATGGACTAAAAATGAAGTGTATATATATATATATATATATATATATATATATATATATATATATATATATATATATATATATATATATATATATATATATATATATATATATATATATATATATATATATATATATATATATATATATATATATATATATATATATACTGTATATACATACATATAGTATATATATATATATATACATATATATATATATATATATATATATATATATATATATATATATATATATATAATATATATATACAGTATATACATATATATATTATTTATATTATTTGTATTTTTATTTTTTTGCTGTCAAAATCAACCCTACACTTGCACTGTCCAGTAGAAATCTGTCCAGAATCGCAGGCAGTGATATTTTCAGATCAAATGCAAATGTTTGGGAATAGCAAACACTGCTCAAAGACGTAGTGATAGCACCACTGTCGCACAGGATCCATGAAACATACTGTCCTCCTTGTCAGTCACCTGTGGCTCCACCCAGGAACCAGCTCTGTGTGTGTGTTCTTCCTCTGTGATCTTCACTGGTTTAGCTGATTGGCTCAATAAGTCTATGAGTGTATGGCGAGATGTTCACAGCTTGCTCACGCAATGTCAAAACGAAACTTCGAAGCACTTGACTGTCCACCTTCTTTTGTACATCTGAGACGTAGAAATGGTTCCCAGACTATCCTTAAATATTTCACGAACATCAATAACATGTAATAAATCACTTCAGTAAATACCGATATATTTCACGTAATAAAGGAACACGAAATATAGTTCGCCAATTCATAATAAGAATGACTCCTCAATTTTGTGGTGTGTCACTTCTTTGAACGAATTATGGTTCCACCAAGTCTTGCTTGACCAAGAGGTGCCTCAATTTTGAAGTTGAAAGTCATCATGGCTTTTCTTCAGTAGTTAATTGATTGTGCCAAAGGGCGGCAATTCATTAGAAGACATGCGGCCTATCAATTTAATAAAAACAACAAAAGAATTATTTTTTAGTTAAGAAGCAGTTTTTCCTTTTTTCAATTGGCGGCAGATTTGAGAGTATAACTTAAGGGGACAACAAAATAACCTCACCTAGCTCCCACCAAAGTGTGGATGGCCTACATCCAAATGATCGGGATCATGCAAAGGTGACATATTGTGATCAGTAACTCTCTTTGTGGAATAATCGAGGAAATAGTGCCGAAGATCATTAAGTGTGACTGTTAGACGGTTTTAAGACAGAGACGTGAGCGATATCCTCCTTTTCAGATACTTACCAAGAGAATATTATAACTGTGAACTATATGTCCGTGTCAACGATACTTATCTAAGAAAGGAAGAAACTGCTTTAGACTTAAGGAAGGTTCGCAGGACATTTTAGTAGTGAGGGGCAAGACAGGGAGAGTGAAGACATTTGAGACTGAAAGAGAAATATTAGCGTATATTCTCTAGAACAAGGGGTGGAAGACTTTTTTCTGTTTACATGTTAACTATCCTGGTGGTTGTGGGACATCCCAGGATAAGGAACTTCTCAAAGGGATCTATCTCAACATTTTTAGAATTCTAACACGGGGCAGGGGAAAAATATATAAATAGTTCTAGCGACAGAGATAGATATCCCTGCAAGGTTGTTGGTGAGCCACACATCACGGTCTGTAAACAAAGTATAAATCCCAAACACCTAGGCCTCTGTATGAAAGATTCAAGGCCCTTGGTGAAGCCTAGACACCTATACGTTCTTCTGATGGCTCTTTCCACCACTGTGATGCCACACCTTTCAGGATTTCTCAGTGGGGTACACTCACAGATCCTGTGATGAAAAACTGCTAAAAATATTAAACATAATTTCTGCTCTTGTATTAAAGGATGTGTCAAGTTTTCATCAGAAATCTTATATTTTCTTCCGTGTATAAGTTGTAGAATATATATATATATATATATATATATATATATATATATATATATATATATATATATATAATATATATATATATATATATATATATATAATATATATATATAATATATATATAATATATATATATATATATATATATATATATATATATATATATATATATATATATATATATATATATATATATATATATATATATATATATATATATATATATATCAACACGAAATCTGCTGTGTAATTCACCTTACTGTATATATATATATATGTCCATGGGGCCTCCTCCCAATCCGCTATAAAGTATCAGCATTATACAATGACCTCTTAGCATGACAGAAGAAGGTGGAGACAAGTGCTCGCAGAATGTGATGGTGGTGCAACACGGGCCAGCGCTCCCGTGTGCACCACACCTCACATAGCTTAACGTTCGTGGCTTCGGCCTGAGATGTTTTAACTAAAAACAATTCAACCCTGAACGATTAGCTGAAAAATCTCGACCTAAATGTTTTCTACCTTAACCTCACTTTACACAACACTACTTGGCTAACACGTCCGCCACCACCAGCCTGGGGACCTACCACTCTGATCACAGTCTGTCACCATGGCTCTGCGTCTGTCTTGCTCATATATGTCTAATTTGTCTCAGATATTCCATATATGTGTGCTTAATTTTGAGTATTATTAAAATGTGTTCCATAACCTTCGCAATTGGAAAATCAAACATAAATCAGTAACAAAATGTTTGTAGCCCTTTTCCACCATCTTTAGTATAGTCAACAAACTTACAATTCAAAGTTGACTCCACAGCCTACATAAGCTAATTTTGTGTTCGTCATTTTAGCTTAATTCTCTTCTTTCTTCGACTTTTTTATTTAATTAGCTGGAAGCGTGAAAAGAGCCAAGACGAGAGAGATAAGAGCAGCCTGGTGAGTCGGTGTTCAATATACACAGCGAGTCCTTAGTGCGAGAT